CGTCCAGAGACAGCAACAGCGGTACCATTTCCCAAATGTCGTCAGCTAACAAACGATGGAGTAACAGGTTGACTGAGCACCTTCTGGGGTTCCAAGCTAGGCTTCCAAACACTGCGCCACTTGGAGTAGCCCTTCCCTTTGCTCTGCTGCACTTGGGGAAAGTTTATTATATCCTCAGGTTCGAGCTTGCACCAAGCCTCATAGGAACCACCAAGGGTTTACCAAGGGACCGCTTACCACTTTCAGCAAAGCCCCTGCACTGGTGTGCCTGGCTTTGGCTAGCATTGGCGCAACCACAGTAGCAGACAACATTCAACAAATGGACTCTGCTATTGCTGGCCTCAGCATCCGAGTCTGCGTGTCCGTCTATTCAGAAGATACTTCGTTGCCATAGTGACGGTGAACATAGCAGACAGACTTCATTGTGCGGAAAAAGATGGCGGTGGCAAGATCAGGTGCGTGCTTCAGCTTTCATAGTGCTTTCCAATGGGCAGAGTGTAAACACAGAGTTTCAAATAAGGAAATAAGAACACAGATGGCTGATTTCCTAGTGCCTAATATTTTTACAAGCCTTACACAAAAACCATGTTTTTAACTCAAAACTTGGACAGTTCTTTTTCTTTTTTTTTTTTTACAGCAACATAACACTAAACTGCTGATGTGCATAGACATCTTTAAAAGCAACTTGTCACCGAAAATTTGGATTGGCTCACCAAGACTGGAGATGTCAACTAGACACTGCTCATTCCATGGACCAAAATGGCGACCATACGGGGAACCTGGCACTACTTTCCCAGGATTCAGTGGCTTCGGTTGCCATTACCAGCAGTTCAAGAGCGAGTTTACTACAATCCGTTTGGTTCGGTGTGTAATGGGTGCAACAGATTGTGGTTAAAGGCAGACATGAGCAAAGAAATTTTGAATGTTATGTGTTTAGAACACCTTCGGGAAATGACAAAGAAGCAGGCTATAGTTGCGCACACTTAAACTTCTCATTTGCAAGCGATAATAAGTGTTGTCACGGCACTCATTGGCCATGAGCACAAATCGGATATTTCTGAACGGATTGGTTGTTGACGAGCGCATAGGTCTGAGTGACACGGTACTCCCGTCCAATATGCACGCCGGGATCGGCTGATGTGCTTGTAGTCAACTTACGTTTTCAGAAGCTTTCACATAAAAGCAGGCTTTTGGCTTTCTACCCTCATGCACTAGTTTTCTTTTAACCCACTAAACCATATGCACTTAGTAAAATCTCAATCTTTAATCATTTATCCTAATCCAAAATTATTGCATGGTCCCTTTAAGTGCACTTAAAACGGAAACATTGTCCACACAATTTTGCAGGAAAGGGATTATTAACATCTGTCCCTTCTGTACATGACGTTACATCTGCTTGTGATGTTTCGTCTCTTTTTGGAATCACACCCAAGCCAAAAAGCAGACTTTCAGTTCATAAAAAAAAAAAAAAGAATTCAAAGAAAAGTGTAGGGACCTTTCAAATTTATAAAAGTGCCCAAAATGGGGATCTTTTGTAGCCAAAAGGGGAAATACTGCCGAAAGCAGATAATGTACAAGGTGAGGCCGTAAGCCGCAGCACATTTGACACGCCTTGCAAAATTTTAGTTCTAATCGTAAATACCTGAAACTGGGCACGCAAATGCAGTTTCGCAAAAAGTTTTGTCTATTTTCTTCAGAGCTCAGCTCAGAGGCGGTGAAATATGATAAAAAGTGCAAAATGGCGGCAGTGCATTTTCTATGTCCTATAATGGATGTTCGTCGTCTGCAGACTGGTTTGCAAGCTTGCTCCCAGGTGGTCATCGTTCATATATTTCGACAGAATTATTACTTATCGCGATTATCCTGCTCATCTCCAGCCTCTACAAGGCATTCTCAGTGTTTTTGCGTTCAGGAAGCGAGCTCGCAAACCAGTGAGCAGACGACGAATAGGCTGGTATAGGCCTCCTGCTTTGCCCAGGAAGCGCTGCGGAAAAACCGGCGTGTAGTGCCCCCTACGATTTGTTTATCGGTATTAGGTAATACAAACTTGCACATTTGAATTTTCCCCCATAAAAACTTCAGCCGGCAGTATGAATTCCCCCTTTGCGATTGTTTTACGGCACAGAATATAGCCAATTTTTAGTGTGGAAAGATTCTTTCATTCCTTAACACTTTGCAAAGGGAAGAAACTAGGTGATGCATGCTACTGCAAGCTGCATCTACGCTGTACAAGGCGCTGCAAATTTGATGTAGGTGGGCTGTCAACCGCAAAAACAGCGAGCTTCCTATGATGTCGAGCTTAAGGTGAGCATTACGAGACACGTTAATGTGCCTTGTAAGCAAAAACTCTCAAATTGCAATACATCCGAACAGTCAAAGCGATCACCTGATGACCAACCTCAAAAATGAGTGAAAGCCGACGCAAGCCATTGAGCTGCGACCAACCGTCTGTTGGCTGAGCAGATTGCTCCTACTGCACGCTGCTTCTCAAACCCTTGCAGCTTTTCTTGCGCATTTGCGCTGTAAGCTTGAAGCAACATAAGATCAGCAGTAGGAGCTCCGCCTACAGCACATGCTTCTTACACTCTGTAGCACAATGGTGTGCGCATACACTCGTCTTTTCAAAGGAAAGCTCTCGCTGGAGACAGCGCTTTTACTGCTGATCTTATGTTGAAAAAGATATACCGTGGAATACTGCGCATCCGCCCATTCCACACTAAGCGCCCATACCCAAATTTATAAGATCTGAGAAAATATACACAGTACATTGATATGTAAAATTGATGACTGGACAAGCACCCATCCCCCATTTCGTCGTTTACCCTGAGACTGGGGGGTTTTTTGAAGAGCAGAAGTAATAGAAAAAACAGACAGGTCTCATCCCCCATTTTTTCGCCATTATCTCTAAATTTCGAGTGGGCGCTTGCCCGGTATTTTTGCAGTAGTCTAATCGAACCACTCCACTCGTCGGACAGTATAGTGTGTTCCTCTCCATAAAAATCGCATGGCATACGTTTTGATGCATGCCACAGCCGCTCGATTGTGTGGCCGTGCTTAGCAGAACCTGGAGGGAAAGAAAAACAATTGTCTCGCTTACTCAGTGCGCTGGGCAGCTAGTATTGTTCCCTCCGCTCGACTTCGTACGGTTTTGATGATCTGTAGAAGTTTACACTGGGGTTAAGCCCTTCCTGTTCCTGACAGTTGACAATGCAAAAAAACGCATCAAGGTTGCGCGTGTTGCTACCGGTTGCGACATGCTTGAACGAAGGAACAATTAGTAGCTTGCGGCAAGCTTGGGTCCCAAGGGTAATGTTGTGCGGTGATGACTATGAGTGACATATTTTGAGCAGTGTCCATGCGAACGCACAAATAACAACTGCGTGCAGAGGTAAACAGCTGCCCGAACAGGTTTGTTATAGTGCGGGGCCGAGACTTGTACTACTCAGACACTCTATCGCCTGCCACCAGAGGGTGCCACGATACGTTCGTGGCACCCTTGTTCTTGTTCTTGCTCAGTTGAGGTCAGCTTCGGAGCGGCCATAATCCCATTAGGACGCCTTAGCAAGGGGACGTAATTGTTTATTATTTTACGATTAGCAAGTTGAGCTTTAAAGGATTTAGACATAAACCCGCTAGCAAAACAATGTTCGCTTGCCCGGTTTCAAGCATGTACGTTTAGGCCCGCTTCAGACGGGCAACTTTTCCAGCAATTTTGAGGTTGCTGGCGGGTTGTTCCCTAGCTTTCCGTAGATCGACGCGGATTGCTGAGATCGGGTCCGGCTCAAACAAGCGAGCAACTCGGAGCAATTGTAAGACAGTTGAAGTGGCTGCAGCCAATCAGAGACGCGATATTTTCACGTGGCACACCTGTGGTGGTGATGATGACAGCTAAAGACTTAGTTCTGGTTTGGAATGGATCGTTTTCGGAAATAAATAGTTTCAGAAAAATGAGTTAGTATTCTCAACGCCGTTCAAAGATATAAGAACGAGTTTTTAGCGCGTAGCTGGGCATCTAGATAGTGAAAGAAGAATCAAATTGAATGATGATGATGGCAAGTCGGAGCAATTCAGTTGCTGCGTGTGAACGCGGGCGGCCGGTGTTGCTGGTGTTGCGACGTCAAGTTGCTGGGTGAAATTGCTCCGTCTGAAGCGGGCCTTAGAATTTGAATTTCGCAAGGTGTGCCAAATGTGCTGGTAGGCCTTAAGGCCTCACCAAAGACAGCACAAAAAGGTTATCACTGTTTTTGTTTCTGTTTTCTTATAACTGAAAAACATCATTAAAGCTACTGTGTGGTATGATGTGGCTAGTTGGGGAACCAGCACAAGGGTGAAATTTGGTGCTCGTCCATATTTAAAAAGCGCCGCGTCCTTTTTACGCTGACTGTTGCGAAAAAATAAATAAATAAATAAAATAAAATAAAGAAAAAGGCAATTGTTTATGTAGCGCCAGCATCCAGAGATGCCGAAGTTTCAAAACTGGAATACATTTTAGCGCTCAAAAAACAGGGACAAAGAGGCGAGAAACAGACAGCACAGCGCACTGTGCTGTCCGTTTCTCGCCTCTTTGTCCCTGTTTTTTGAGTGCTAAAATCTATTCCAAATTCCAAAACCCACTAGCCCAACAATCTACTCTACTGAAATTTACTTCAAAACTGACCATTAAATTTTTAAAAAAAAACAAAAAAAAACGAACACGAAGCGCACGAATCGACATGAACCAACATGAACTGACGGAAAAGAATAACGACTGTTACAGCTAACGATGGCAGTGAAAATTCGAAAATGAATAGGTTTTGAATCAAATAACGGTTAGTTCTGAGAGTTGGGCACCGACAGCTAGCGCTACATTTGGAGCAGAAAAGTAATAAGCTAACTTTTCCCCAGACACCCATTTTCGGGTGTTTAGGGAGAAGTTCGCTAGGGACTCGCCTTTCTCGGAGTTGGCGGGGGGAACAGGGGGAAACAGAACACTAGGGAAGCGGTCAAAACTTTGCACTCACGGGCACGAGAGGCGACTGCACCAGGTCTATCACCTCCACGACCTGTGCCGCAGTTTTTGTAGCTTGAAACGTCTTTCTCGGTTTCGCGATTTTTGCGGTCTTGGTCGCAGCTTTCCCCTTTGCTGGCGTGGGTACGTAGTCGTCATCGCTGTCATCGCCGCCGTTGCCGGACTGGTCGTCATCCTCGGCTGTCGTGTCCAAGCATATCACGGTCCTCTTGGTGCGCTGTCTTCTTTCCATTGGGATTCCGGCTTTGAGTTGTACACGCAAGTCTTCAAAATACTCGGAGGTCTCCGAACCTGGCAGCAAAGACTCAAAACCTTTGGAGGTGCAGGGTAGAGCGTTCGAAGAGGGAACCGATTGCTTGGTAGGATATCAGCATCTACATGACGTAACCAGTGTCTTAACAATATTACAACTATTTTAAAGGTGTCACTGGCACCAAGAAAAATCTGGGCATGCACTGCGTCTACCGCTAAATCAGCTAAACTGCTCGCGCGCCGAGCGGGCCAAGCGGGCTCTGGACGGCTCTGGATACGGATGGATGAGTAAACAAGCCAACGCACCTGCGTCAACTGCGTCGTTTTATTATCGGTTTATCTTCGGCAGTTGCTCCCGCTGATCGAGAGTTCGCGCAGCCCGAGATGCATCCTTCAGCAAAGAGTTCGCGCTTTCAGCCTAGTAGCGGAATTGTTGTACATTACAAAAAACTGGGGAGGGCCGCCGAAAATGGCCAAAAATTCGCTAAATTGCCAAGCGTTACGTTTAGATGGCGCAAGCTCCCGTCCATAATATAAAGGGTGAGTCTGAGGAGTTCTTCTGGGGTTGTCACTGGGTTGTTGTTACACGGCTCTGGGTTGTTACAGAGCCGTCTCTGGGTTGTTAAAATCTATCTATTCCTAAATTTTCGCAATATTTTCGTTTTTTTCTACGTTGTTTTGACCTGGTTTTGACGCTTGGGTTTGTCGTTACGGCACCTTACGGCACGTGGAAAGAGTGTGCGGTGTGCGTGCTAACTTCTCGTGCGAATTAAGTGAACAGAGTGACATTCGGAGCAAACAAGGCAAGCGCCGGTCCCCCTGCGTTATTGGCTTTTCGAACGAAGCGAATACTTCGCCTTGTCCACTTTCTTTGAACTTGCCGTCGCACGCGACAATGTGGACGATTCAACGCCACCCACGTGACACCGCATCATCATGGGGTTTGTATTCCTTGTTTCTTCTGCTTTGCTCTCTTGTTCTATTGACTGAATCACGACCGGCCTTAGGCCTCATTCACACAGCCGGCGTCTCGCCCCGTCCCGGCGAAAGCGCCGTGGGCGCCGTGCCGAAAACGGGACGGTGCGGGGACGGAGGAGTGTTCGAACCAGCGGCGGCGGAGCTGCCGGCAATGCTGGCGGCTGTGCCCCCTTATATTGGCGGTAGCTTGCGTCAGGGCCGTAACCAGGGGGGGGGGGGGGGGGGGGGGGGGGGGCGGGGTTAGGGGGTTCTGACCCCCCCCCCCCCCCCCCCCGAAATTTTTTTCTGGGTACGGCCCTGGTCGGTGCACTTGCAGCCAGCCGATTTTAATCTCCACCTCTGCGCACGCGCAGTGGCACCGGTCGGCTACCGGGTACCAAACCGGGACCGGTTCTTCGGTTTGCTATAACTCTCCATTATATGCCACCGATGCACATGATTCATAGGCGAAAATAAGACAAAATGGCCGCCGTTGTCCTCGAAACCCCCCCCCCCCCCCCCCCCCCCCCCCCCGAAATTTTTTTCTGGGTACGGCCCTGGCTTGCGTCACCTAGCTTAGAAATCTTTGTGCACCTTTCAAATTCCGCTTCGAACGTTTGTATCCCGTAAAACTGTATAACCGATATAATCTATTATTTCGTGCGCAAGTACACACTTCCTTCGATCTCTATTACCAATCGTTGTAACGCTGTGTCTAAAGGTACGTCGGACGTATCCGAATCCCAGAGTCTAAAGATACGTCGGACGGATCCGGAACTCGGAGTCTAAAGATACGTCGGATGTATCAGGATCCCAGAGTCTAAAGATACGTCAGACGTATTCGGATCCCAGAGTGGACGTAGCCGTGATTCACATTCGGGTTTTTCGGGGCACCAAGTGGTACGCCTGGGTCCCAGTGATACAGGGGCGAGGAAACGACCCTACAGCGCGCGGTTCGCCTTTACGAGCTTAGCACGTTTCGTGGAAAACTCGTTTCAATGGGCGCGTTCAGTAGCGCCTCCCTTGCCTCCGAACGGAGTGCCTCGAGTCGGGGTCATCGGAGCGCCTACTGAACGGCAAAAAAACCCGCGGCTCCAAACCTGCTTCTACGCAATTTCTGCTTCCTCCCCTGTGCCAGACGGCCTCCGAATAAACTCGAAGCAGACGATGGCGAGCACGATCGCTTTTATTTGACGCCGGAATTGAAGAAGTCTTGACAAGGTTGTTGAAGAAAAAGCGAGTGACTGTACACATCTGCGCTACTGTTCGAAGTGATGCAACGCGATTGAGCCCTTTGCTTGGCGGTGCGAAGGCAGCTACTGTTATAAAAACCGACAAAAACGTCATCAGCACACGCAAAATATAGAGCTCGGCGAACCTACGCAGCCGGTTGCAATACATTTATACGGCCACACGTTTGTTCTGCCCTTCGTAAAGAACTTCCTATAAAATGTATTCGTATACACACGGTAAGTTCGGCCGCGCTCGGTGATCAAGGTTTTGTCGGCCGAAGCGAGCGTCAGCCAACGTGCACCCAGATTTAGCTACGCAAACAAAACATCAATCGGGATCATGCTCTGCGTGAGTGTCCAACGGGCTACCGAATTCGCGTTCATACCCTGCCTTGCTCTGTTCAGCGCGGACAGGACTATCGTCGATATTCACCGAGTTTCCGTGCAACGGCGATCAAGACACGGCGTCAAATTAACGTTTACATTGTTTATTAGCATATTCAAACCAAACAAAATACGGTTCAATGCATTTTCCAAAAGAGCCTTACATGAAAAAGAAATTCGAATGCGTTATTCGCCTTATCTTGAGCACTTTTCACTAACAAAAGTGAGCGTACACCCGTGACAGAACCGATGCAGCTTATCCCGCTATATTGTTTGTTTTTTCCTGTCTTAGCACCGGAAATCGTCACCAGTCAGGAAATTACGTCATTTTAGCTCCTTTGACTCTACGTGCACCGTCTCCGGACTCGGTGCTTCGGAGCTTGACTCCGAAGCCCCGGAGTTACGTGCACCGGAAGTGACTTTTGGCCGTCCAGTGGAAGGAGTAAGTGACTCCTTGACTCCGGGGCCGCTACTGAACGCGCTCATTGACAGCACATTCACGGAAATTTCGTTGCGCATGCACCACTGGGATCCGCGTTAATCTATGCCGACTACCTGTCCACGCCGCTTCGCGGCGGCAGACGGGCCGCTCATTAGAAAAAGTAGCTCATTCGAGGTGGTAACAAACTTTTGATGAAACGATCTGTTGATAAAACGTCGTTCAATGAACTTATTGCCACTGAGCAGCGGTACATGAATCCCTTGAGCATCCTAGCGCGCGACTCCCGGTAGAATTTCGGAAAAATTATTCTGCCAGCTTCAGGAAGAATAGACACTGCCTTTAAACATACGTCGGACGTATTCGGATCCCAGAACACCGACACGGCGAGCTCAACCGGCTCAACTGTCGAGTTTGGAGAGCATCGGCAGACGTACCCGGAGCCTAAACAAGTTTCGTTTCGTACAGACGTGCAAAACATGCAGTGTGTTTTATTCTTGGCTAAAATGACGATTGACTCAGTTCTTACCCTATTGCAGCTGCTATAGAATAATAATTTCCCACGGAAATATTGGTCATTATGCAAGCATTAAAACTGTCTTATGACTATGGTTCGGTGTTAAGGCTGAGACGTGTTAAAAAAAGGGTTTGGTTTTTCTCTGAATGACCCCTAGAGTTTCGAAAAAAACAGACATGACCTCCCCCTATGCAAAAAAAAAAAATGAAAGCAAATTTCACAGCCTTGCATACAACGAAAACAATCAAAAGCTGATCTCTAGAGGACAACACCAAACTTTAAGCAGAAAGACTGGATCACGAAAGGGAACAACATTTCATTTAGAAAACAAACAGATACCCATTAAAGGAATGTTGACCTGTCAAGCTTTCGTCAGCAGAACACTTTGCGGTCACGTGGATAGGCCGCACGGGGTCACAAGCTGACAAATCTTCCCTTTGGCGTGCGATACTACTCTAAAATACAGAGGCCAGATTCATAAAAAAACCTCTTACTTACGACAACTTAGCTACGAAGTTCGTAAAGTTACGATCCTCGTAAGATGAGGCGAGAACGGTATTCACAAACGCGTTCTTAGAGGAGGAAAGTTACGACCTCTTACGGAGAAACGATGACTTCCGGTGCTGTTGCTATGGCAACGGCGTCTTTGGCAAAACGAACAACCAATTAGAGAGCTAGGCATAGTTCGGAGCACGTGGATTTTTAATAATAAACACAGGCTAACCACTCATTAATAGACAGCTCTGTGTATGTCCTGTCCTGTCTTTGTGTAAATGTTTAGTGTTCAAGCTGATTCTCAGAAACACGGGCGGCCTTTCCAATACCGCTTGTCTGGGGTTTGTGTCCGTGCAGTGGTATATCGACGCTAACCTATTTAAACACTTCGTTGACTGCTACAAACTCGATCGCTATGAAGTCAACACAACTGCCATCGTTGGTAAAAGCTAGGGCTGGGAAATTGATCGATTAACCTTCCGATTAATCGATTAATGCTTTAATCGCGATCAATTTTTTTAACCAGTTAATCGGTTAAAATGAGGCGAACAAAAGGAAATAAATATACATTTTTTTCCTTTCTCCTGCTGCCGTTCCCTCTAAAACGAACATACAAACTTGCTCCTTGTTCACCTCGTAGGTAACACCCAACAAACAAATCATTCGTCGTGAGTCACGCGGGATTGGAAGAAAAAAGCGAAAACAGAAGCAGAATGAAAGCAGGCTTTACGGAAGTCCGGTGACCTCGGTCATGAATTTGGACGTTATAGCTATGCGCTCTTTTTGAGCACACGCAGCAGCTTTTTTTTTTTTGAAGGCACGCAAGCATGTTGGCTTACGGGTTTGCAGCGACAAAGCTAGAGCTCTTCCGAAGGCTGCCTTGATCCCCATTGTGGGTTATGCTCCGTCCTTGCGGTCGCTACAACGTGACCTCGCTCGTCTCTCCGCTCGTTCAGCGTGGTGCAAAGCCGGCCGTGGTCGTGGCTTGCTTCAGTATTCGACCCTGTGTTTTATTTGTGTGGTTGGAATTTCTCTCTCGGCGTCGCTTTTGCCTCTTGACGCAACGACCTTGGCGGACCTGCGCTGCCCGTGGCAAAGTGCTTCCAGATGTTCCCCCGTTCTCTCGTCGTCTTTGACGAGTTGGCGCCGCGCGCAGCCGGATGGGCTCGTTTCCCTTTTCCCCGTAAAAAGGGGCCTTTCCTTCGCCGGGGATTTTCTGTTTGTTGAAAGCTTCAAGGACGTCGTGGAATTAGAGCGTGCGGGTAAAGTTACATGAACGACGAAGATGTTTCATCCTGTTTTTGTCCTTCATGTACTACTCCTATAACACCTTCAGGGACGTCCTCGACGGATCGACGCTCCCCAATTATCCCCGTCTCCCTTGCCCCCGTCTTTCCTCTTCCCTTCATGTCGCGCCGCAGTCACTTGTTTGAGAAGTATCTCATCACAACACCCTGCGCAGGCGTGGACGAATACAGGAGTATGAAGGGCAACCTTTCAGGGAAATTCGGGTTTAAAGTAAACTCTGCGGGCGAAGTTTTTGACTTAAAGAAAGTTCACTGCCTCATCTGCAAAAAAGCTTTCGCATATAGCGGAAGTGTAAGCTCGCTTCAATACCATCTCAGAGCTAAGCACCCAACAGTGATGTGATTGCTGCGCCAATTGCGCCAAACTGCACCAAGGGGCTAACCTTGCTACATCCTGCTACATTTCACCGAAATATGGCTAATCTGCGCCAAGCCTGCGCCAAAGAAGCCATTTTGGTCGCCTTTTAGAAACGAAACTAAACTGAGAACCATAATTGAGCATGCGTAAGCTAGGTCGCACAAGACGCCACCCGACACAAAGTACCCTGTATCAATCGTCTATTTGGTCTCGCATGATTTTTCCCGACGTCTCGCGTTTCGTGCACTCGTC